TCCGTGAGTCAGCAGCTTTATCTTCTCGATCTCGAAAATCGGTAGGTACGTAGGTAGGTAGGTAGGTAGGTAGGTTGGTAGGTAGGTACGTGTATAAATATATATCTTAAGCATTGAGCAAAAAAATATAAAAAAAAAAAAACAAGATAAAAATCATTCTCGAATACGATCCAATCGGAGTACTTATCATCAGTTTGTTTTTTTCTTCTTCTTTTTTATCCAGTTTGTTTTTATTCCAATTTCTATGGAATTCCTTGAAATGTTCTTCTTTGCAAGATATCATTCCTCGTTTACGTAATTTTCCATATTGCGTGTATTAAAGTATCCCTTCCAGACGTTTTTGAGTGGAGTTATCTGTGTAAGAATAATTTGACGTGGCCATAGGCATCGCAGCTATGCGCTCGTCAGTGTATATGTACTATTACGTTTCCTATCTTTGTCATATACTCTCTCTTTATATATATGTGTAGCTATGAACGTGATGGATATTGTGTACTTGCACTCGTGTACGTATACATGTTATGTATATGTATATAAGTACTTGTCTTACTTAGAAAGAAAGAAAGAGAAGATAAAGCTTCGGGACATATAGGACTATATATACTATTATATACATATACGTACCGTATACGAGGATATATTTTATGCAACCACGTTGTGGTCCGCCCACTATCTAAGATCGCTACTTATGACCAGACACGATCTTCCAACGTTCCACCATTTTTCTCTGATAACCTTTATACTTTGTACTTTAATAAATTCCGATTTAGGTCACCAATGCGTCGATGCATCTCCGTCGTATATATATATATATACATACGTTTGACCATACTTACTGTATCGATGCAATGTAAGCAGTAGCAGCTAACGTTTTAGAAAGATTCTTTTTATTTTGTCTCCTATTTGTTTCGATCACTCTAATCCTTTCACATACTTTCTATCTATCTCTATTAGGTTTCATTTTACTATCACTATTACAGAGTAAATATTAATTAGTAAGAGAGACTATTAAATCTAGAAACATTCTTTATCTCATAACAGAATGGATAATAGCATGTTAATCATTTTAATCCAAAATATTAAACGTTAAATTTTTAATTGAAATTTTACCGAATAGTTATATGCATAATATTAAGAAGTAATATTTTTTGTATATTAACACACATATTTAAATAGCAGAAAATTGCGATATTCAGCTGCGTTCTTTTAAAAATTAAATTCAATATTCAGTTAAGCGTCTCACCCGGTGAACGCTAATTGCGTATTAAATAAATTGTGCTCTTTGAATTTTGCTTTTTGTACAAATCGTCATTATTATTGCATTATATATTATTATCGTCATTAATATTGCTTTATATATTAATAAACCTTCTTTACTTCGCTATCTTCCAAAAATTATTTTCATATTATTTGTTTTTTTTTCATTATAGACATGGAAGAATTTGTTGAACCGTAAAACAGAATCAATTAATATTTAAAAAAGAATACAAAATATAATAAATTTCTTTAAAAAATTTCCCTTTTTAGTATATCTTATTATATCGTTTTGTGGATAGAGAGTTAACATCCAATAATTAAATTTGATGGAGGAACTTCCGAACGTTCTTTTCGCGCTAAATCGTATAGTAAATATCTATTTGCGAACAGGGGATGCTTACACGGGTCAACGAGTCGAATCAATTCTGTCTGTGATCGTTATTACATGGAGAGAACGGTGCACGTGGCTAAGTTAATGCGCGTAGCATACACGAGCGCTGTTAGATAATTAATGACTCGCGGCTAAATTAAGCACGTAATACTAATACGATGTTTGTATGGCCGAGCATGAAGCGTGATATGGTCGGTACAACAACCTGAGCGGTTGAGGAGGAGTGCAGGAGGAGGAGGAGGAGGATATGGGGTAGAGTTGGTAGAATTTTCGTTGCGTTTGTTTTGCGAGTAGTAGATACGTTAATCGTTTAGAAAAATAAAATCAGTCTTCTTTTTATTTTTCTCTCTGTCATGTTGTTTTTCGAAAGAAGAAGAAGAAGAAGAAGAAGTAGAAAAAGTCCCTTGCCAAATTTTCTCGAAAGAAACTTCTTCGGGCGTTTGTTTGAAAAAGAAGTGACCAAAGATAAGAAAAAAAAAAAGAGATAAATAAATAAATAAATAAAACACAAGAAAAAAAAGTTGTAGGGAAAAGAAAAAGCCCTGGAAGAAAAGATAAAAAAGAAAAACGCATTATTAGGTCGACTTTATAGCGTCAAGCGGAAGGAAAGAACTTTCAGACGTTCCTTTAAACTTAGTTTCAACGTGTTCGGGTGTGCAAACGCGTTCGTAAACTCAATCGAGCATTCTGAGAGCGAAGCAGGTACTTTTGAGAAAGGAATTGGAACAGTGCCGGCTTGTACTACCTCGTCTATTCGGGAACTTTGCCTAATGTGTGAGAAAAAACAATCTTTTAATTTTTTTCCTCCTTGTTCTTAAAAGATGAAACTGAGTCGAATGAAAGTCCTGGAAATATTAATTGAAAGGAAGTCTAGACAAATTTTCCAAGTTTTGAGATGGTAATTTGCACCTTCTTTTAGTTTTAATGAAACACACAATAAGTAAATTAAATAAATATTACTTGATAAAAAAATAATAAAATAAAAATATAGAGTTTAGAGTCTCGAGCAATGGTCTTCCCCTACTATTACGCGATTTGACTGCAACTCTCTGCCGTAATAAAATAATAAAATAATAAAAACAACAAAAAGAGAAACATACAGCGTGGTCAGAGATGACACTTGATAATAAACATTCGTATGAATATTTTCCAATAGATCGGCAACTGTCTCAATTCATGAGTAGCATTGCCGGGAGAAATCCCTCACGAGGGATTAATATGATGTCATATTACTCTTATTGTCATTGTATAATTACGTTAGTTAGTAGGATGACATGAGTTATGCTTTATGATACGTCGTCGCGTTTCTAACCTAATCCAAACTTAACAACTACTGCAATTATATTCTTTCCCCTACTATTATTATTCGATTTTTTTCTAATTCGATTTGATAACGCTGTTCGTCAATAAAATGAGACGATTCCCACAATATGATATAAGTTTGCTTTCAGAGTCACACGGATTTTGTTTCTAACAAGGTTTTAATAAATTCCATAAAGTGGTGACTAGTGAACTCAAATAGCGAGGTAACAGATTGATTAATGATGAGAAACGTGCTGCTTACTACAGGAAAGAACTTGCCCACCCCTGTTGAATAGTTTTATCTTGTAAGGACACGATTTACATTACTCATGTTTCGAAGGTACTTTAGACGTATCTCTTCCTATCGTCTTCTATCACACAATCTCTCTCTCTTGCCGATGTCAACATAGCCGAGGGTTCGTGTTCCATGTAAGATTAGAAAGATACACCCTAAGATGTAGTAAGCAAACCGCAATGAAGTAAAGGGAGGAGATACGGAGAGAGAGAGAGAGTATCATGAGAGTTGCATTTAAACGTTTTATCAAATAGGACGGAAAATGTATGAGTTTTAGTTGGTGTAAGTATAAGCGTATATGTTTATATATATTTGTGTATGAGTATTTATATGTATGTAGGGTTGTGCTTGCGCGCTCGTGCAAGGAGGGGTTCCAAAAGTTACCGGGAACCACTTAAGGGTGGTCGTACATATCCAGCTGACACGTGTCAATGACATATGTCAATACTAGTACAGCACGTACCCGTCGAACGTGAGAACGCGTTAGTATCGAAAAAAGTACTTTCTGTCTCTCCCGTATGTATACACGCATTCCCGTAAAACCGTTTCGTACGGCACCAATCTTTCCTCTCTTACCGTTTTTCGAAGGATCACGTTCGTACTTTTAGCTTCGAAGGAGTCCTCGATTTCTTTAGGGATGAAAAAAGAGAATAAGAGGGAGAGAAATTTTAAGACGACCTTTTTATACTTTTTCTCGTTGTAAAACGCATTTTTTTAGACGATTATTAAGTTTTATTACTCCAATCGATATTAATACTACCAATTGAGTTTTTGTTTATTTTCGATATCTAATATTTAATCAATATTTTATATAAATTATTTAGATGATATCATATTTTATAATGTTACGGATAATTCTTAAAATATCTTTTCAATTGAATAGTAAAATATTTGATAAAAATGAAGATACTTTTATTTTTCGATGAACTTATCGTGTTTGCCATTTTGTTCAAGGTTTTTATTCGATATGAAAAGTCTGATGAGTTCGGAACGTTTCCTCGCGGTATCGGATAATATCTAAATGTTTCCTCTTCCACTTCCATTGCGTATTTGGCTCTTAAACGTCGTCCATACGTAACGTATGATGTAGTACGAATTTTTTCCTCATTGATCCGGCACGTTTTACAAGGGGTCGGTCAATCGCAATGCACGGTTTGTATCCAGTCGGGCATCGAATCGAACGCGTCCAATCAATTAAATTAGCGGTCACGATTGCGGTTGTATTCGTATTTGTTACTTACCGCATCGGTCCAACCGAATGTTTACAGTTTTCATTGATCCTCTCTATATAATATTTCAACCTGTGCAACTATGATTAAAAATATTATTGTAGATTTCTCTCTCTTCTCTTTTTTTTTGTTTTCTTTTGTTTTTTTTGTCAGTTTGTTAATTAAGAACATTCATTTGTTTGAAAATTTATCAACGAATCTTGTTAACAACGATACGGATCCTCGGATGGGACGAATAATTAAAAAAAGAAAAAAACAAAAAAAAGAAAAGAAAGAAACAAGCACGTAAAATGGCATAGATAGATAACAAAAGGCGTTATTCGATGATGATTAGAAAAGTCAATCTTTGGAAAAGTCGCGATAAAAAAGGTCCGTCGTCGCGCGATCTCTCGCGACACGATTGGCATAGGACGATGGTAAGGGATGAAGGGGGTGTAAAGAGGGAGGAAGGGTGGCAGTCGGGGCTAGTGCGCATGCGCAAACAGAGGGATTGGTCGTCGTGCTGCCGTGCCGGCCGAGCCCGTAGCCGAGCGTCATCGGCAGTCATCGGCGAACCGCGATTGAACTCTCGTCGACTCCTTTATAGGGTTACAGAAACAGATAGATAGATAGATATTAAAAAAAAAAAAAGAGAAATAGAGATACGATAGACTGAAAGACAGATAAATTATACATAATCAGAAAGAAAGACAAATAAGGGAAATATACGGAAAAAAAGGGAAACTAATAATTGATTTATTAGATATCATAATTCTGTTTGTTTTCATTTCTTTGACATATTAATAGTGTAATACCTCAGTTCAAGAGTAACAATACGAAAGAACAACATTTGTTTCATTTTCTCTTGAAAAGAAATTTTTCCTCCAATTACGTTTCGTTGAATATAATTTCTATAATTTGTTCTTTTATTATTTCTCGTTTGTGTGTATATTCGATCAGTAACGCACGAAAGATAGGTTACGAAAAAGTTGCCGGTTTAGTATCGCGTGAATCGTTCTCTCTCGTGTGTTTCGTTATTGAGAGACTCCTCGCGTAGGTGTGGTGTGTGAAAAAGGATTTTCTGTGACAAAGAACGAGTATCCTAACGTCGTCAAAGCAACTACTACGATATATTACCATTACTGTTACACGACGTCGAGAAGGAGGACGACGAGGACGACAAGGACGACAAGGACGAAGACGACGCTGCTATTGCTATTGGTGGAGGTGGTGGTGGTGGTCGTGGTGCTGCTGGTACGACGAATATAGGAACGTGCACTAAGAGACGTTGTTGTACTAGGAAGGAATTGGACGTTGGCCTTGCATCCGGAGATTGATGAACGTGTAAAAGGAGGACACGGAGTATATTGGCAAAACGCGTCGCGCGCACCACTCTCGAGGAATGGGGTACGTAGTAGAAATAGTCCTTCCGATCGTCGTCCTCCATGCTGTATCCAGCCGATCCTTGTTTAACTCACGTCAGTCGTGTTTGCAGACGAATTTACCGAGATGGAAATCGTTCCAATCGATCTTTAAGGGGGTATGCAATTTTTGCTGCATACCTTTTTTTTTCTTTTCTTTTATTTTCTTATTTATTTTTATTACTTCGAACATTTATTATTTCGTTGTACTGTGTGTGCGTTATATTACGATAAATCGTGTTTTTATTCGTTCTCATGTAAATTTATTTTTTCAACAAAACGTTATCGCGTATATATTATTACTTGTAACTCGTAAAATCGAATATTAATATTATTTGTATCGTCGTGTAATTAATATTTTTTTCTTAAGTTTATTTTATTTATTTATATATATATATATTATATAGAAAATATTTTATATTTATTTATAGCGGAGCGAAAGATCGTGCGTACGTGCGTGCGCGTGTGTGTTATAATTTTTTAATAATAATTACGAATTATATATTCGAATATATATCGTCTCCTATTGTTTTTCGTTTTTTTTCTTCCCATTTGTTTTTTTCACTTGTTCATTCGTTAACACGCGTTTTTCCTTTTGCTAATTTCGTGCATCCGAGGAACGCGATAAAATTCACGTGATGCAAGCGTAAATTGAAGAGGAATGCGAGACCCTGTAAAAAGATTCGATCCGAGCGTTTTCTTCTATTGCTTCTCGCATTCTAGGTGCTCACGATTTATCCCGTTCTGTATCGTTCAACGGCATATATTAATCTTTTATCATCCTGATCGATAATCAAATCGCTTGATCGTTTTTACGCATTACGAAACGCCGATTTCGCTAAAGTTTTGTTCGAACGTGTTTTTCATAATTATTTTTTTTCTTTCTAAAAGAACGATCGAACGAGATGGAGAGATAGAGAGAGAGAGAGAGAGAGAGAGATCTCGTCTCGTCGAAATTGAATTAAACTACACTAGTTTCGCGGAATACACGCTCTACGTTGTGGTATTGGCGTGGCCAATACAGTTTGTAATATATTGCTATCGCAATATGGTGTCTCTCAAAAGTTGAACGGGGGTTTGCGGTCGCAGTTACATTACTCCATTAGATCTTGCCCTCTCTCTCTCTCTCTCTCTCTCTCTCTCTCTCTCTCTCTCTCTCTCTCTCTCTCTCTNTCTCTCTCTCTCTCTCTCTCTCTCTCTCTCTCTCTCTCTCTCTCCTTCTCTTTCACTCACTCTTTGTGCTGTCTCATTCGCTTGTTCGTACACTGTACAACATGCTAGCTAGGTCTCGAGCCATTCGTTGGCACGGGTTTGTTGGCTATCGAATGAACGCTACGAATTTCACGAGATGGAACGAAAAAGGTAGGAAGAAGAAAGCTTCCACCATTTGAATGGGTTTAAAATCGCCTGCCGCGCTAATTTCGACGTCGCGGCGAGTATGTATTCATATATATATGTGTGTGGTGGTGTATACATATATACATACGTACGTAAATTCGTGCTAACGCGTTCTACCTTGAAAAAAAAAAAAAAATACAAAAGTAAAAACAAAAGAGGAAACTCGATTTTGAAAAGCACCAACAAAAATGGCGCGATGGTACCGACGGAAGGTTTCTTTCTTCCTACGTATGTACATCGTTGAGCAAAGATGAAGGAGAACGTATAAAAAAAAAAAAACAAAATATGAGAGGAAGACTAAGGAGAAACGAAAAAATGACTTGCCGAGTTTCCGACGATATATTGGTTACCAGCAAGTGTGTGTGCGCGCGCGGGCGCGCGTTTGTGTGGGTGCTTGTATATAGGTCTGTCTATATATATATATATACTGTGAACGCACTAACGGAGATTCTTTCGATTCGGAGCTTCATTTTTTCAAGTAATTTTTATAAAAGCTCTTTGAAAGGACCGTTTCGAGGCACATTGAGGAGATTATGAATAGGTACGATTTCTAAATGCGCGCGCGCGTGAATATGAGACAACCGAAGAAGGATCGTTGCCGTTTTCTTTCTTTCTTTTTTTATTCTACAATATATTCTTCTCTTCTCCTTCCTCATTCTCTCTTTTTCTTTATCTCTACCTCTATTATTGCAGTTAGAAATATTTTATTGTGGATTATTCGATGCCGTACTTTAAAATACGAAGTGTATCGAACCCTCATCGTTTTATTGTCGTCGTTATCATCATAGTGTGATTTTAAAACATATCACACACACACACACACACACAACTGTTTCCTTTTTTATACACATAATTTACGTTGGTACCTTATAAGCAGCACACTTTATCACATTTACACCAACGACGATCGATGTTCTTTTTAGGCGAATGAGAAATACGTTTCCACGAGATGTAATAGGCATATGTGTACGTATATTTAAACGCGATAGAATATAAATATATACGTGTAAATTTATCGTACGAAAGATTCGTTCAATTTTTCTTTCTCCCCTCCTCCTCCTCCTCCTTTCCTTTTTTCCTTCTCTTTTATTTCTTTTTTTTTAAGAAATTTTATTCCCTCTATATCTTCGGTCTCCTATTCACTTTTTCTTACTTGATTTCATCCCACCAGGTAGGAGGCATCGATCATAGGAAAAAGGGTTGCTTTACAAATTCTCCGAAGAAGGTCATAATCGTGTCTGAAAATTATTATGATCGTCAGACACGTGATTCCGACGTTTTCCCTTATAGCCGCGATAAATCTATTGCCTTTTTTTTTCGGCGAATCGTTTCGTTAAACTCGGCCAAGTTACAGATAGAAACGCGATAACGTCGAAATGCGGATATCGATGTAGATGAGAGAACGAGTCTCGTTCGTTCCACTTTTTCTTTAACTTACTTGACTATTATACGAATGGCAATGCGAGATTACTATCCCAAAGAAATTTTCTGAGATGTTGAATTTTGTAATATTTTCATTCAAAAAGTTAATCGTCTCAACGAATATATAATTAGCCAAAAAAACTCGTCTTTAATAAAAGTCCACGAAGTAATTTATGGAAAAAAAAAAAAAATATAGTAAGAACATTTTTCGCGTATATTTTTAATGAGAGAAGATTTTTAAAACGTTCTTCCAACGAACAAAAGAAGGGTTATACTTTTTATTAGACGTTTAATGAACATAGTACAAAATCAAAGAATGATATAAATAAGATGAAAGATGAAAGAAAACAATTGTGTGTATGTGTGGAAAGAGAGTTTGTATTTTATTATTATACATATAAATATATTGTTTTTCAATGAAATTCTAATTCATCGATCTATCGATGTCGGATTGGTACTCTTCTTCGGATACCTTTCCGCTGACGTAAATTCAATAACAGCGACTCTCTCTTTCCCTTTTTCTTTCCCTTTCTATTTCTCTTTTACTGTTCGCGACATACATTCAATCGAAGGTAAATTAACGCAACGCGTTAACGATCGATATGTGGATATTCGTAGCTAATTGTGTGTATACTACCGGCTGCCGTTGTAATTTTAATTATATGTCAATGATAGATGCATTTATTAAATTAACTGACAAATTGATCCGGCGAACTTGTTCACGAAATACACTACCGTTATAGTACTAATAGTAGCCGATGGCGTATGAGCACGTTGGTCGATTGGTAACGATGTCATCATTAACGTTTCTAATGAAAGAAGGTGAATTACTAAATACAGATATTTTTGAGAGTGAGAGAGAGAGATAGGTAGGTAGGTAGCTGCTAAGTCGGAAGAAGGATGAAGACGACGATGAAACGAGAGTTGGGTGTTTTGAGAGCCTGGACAGAGATGGAGAGAGAGAGAGAATACAGTGAAGTGGTACCGTGGTATAGTCTTGAAGTAGCAAAGGAGAGTTACGAAAGTATAAAAGAAAGAGAAAGAAAAGAAAAGAGAGAGAGAGAGAGAAACAGAGAGGATAGAATAAGACTTGAGAGACGCCGCTACTTCTTGGACCTTCCTGGACCTTTCTTCGTTTACCCTTTTCTTCCCTTATTCTTTCCCTCTCTCTCTCTCTCTCTCTTTCTTTTTATTTTGTGTCTTCGTTCTTTCTTCGTCTTCTCATAGGCAACCTTCTTCAATACTTACCAGCCATCCTGCAGGAAAGTAGAAGAAGCTTTGACGTCTGCACCAAGCAAGTTCTTCGGTTACTCTCTGACATTGCTTTGCTCCGTGGGAGACCAGAAATTTCATAGAAAAAATCGCATAGACTTGGGATGTTTCGACTATGTTTTCTTTCTTTATTTCTTTTCTTTCTTTCTTTCTTTCTTTTCTTTCTTTCATCCTTTCTTCATTTCTTTATTTCTTTCTTTTCATCTACCCCGTCTTTTACAGTAGGGGAATACACATAGAATGGTGAACCTAATGGAGACTCTTTTATATGGTTGTTCCACTGAAAGCAACTCGATAGATTAAGCTAATTTAACGAGTTAGTATTATTCTTGTAATTTTATTTTCCTTTTTGGTAGGGAAGAACGAATAGAGGAGGAGGAGGAGGAGGTGGAGGTAGAGGATAATGATCAAGGTAAATTTGTAATCTCGCAAAATTCGATGTTGAAAATTGAAAATTTGTGTTCTCATTGCGTTTACGTGTGTCGATTGTGCGTTTGCGTGTGGGATTCGGGTTTGCCAAGAGAAAATTCTACTCGGACGAGCGAACCTCGACGAGTCACGTGCGACGAACCGAAGTGTATACATTCAAAACGACTTTCAACGGATTCTATCCGGCGCCGTTCTAACCACGCCGTGTTCCAAAAACACGATTCGACGTCGATTCCAAAGATAGAATCTTTTGGCTCCGCTTTGCGTACCGCAGACTCATTTTTGTCCTTCTCTTTCTCTCTCTCTCTCTCTCTTTCCTTCTTTCTTTCTTTCTTTCTAGCTCGTTCTCTCGCTCGTTATCGATCCTCCGCGGTGAAATTCGCGAACTCTCTCAAGCTACTCTTTTCGGTAAATTCGATGTCAATACGTTTTAGCTTGAGATTATGCGGCGAGCTTGATTAAAAT